CAGCCGGGCGTGGTAGCGCATGCCTGTAATTCCGGCTACTTGGAAGGCTGAGGCAGAAAGATCACCGGAGCCCAGGAGGTCGAGGCTGCGGTGGCCGGGAGCGGCCACTGCACTCCAGCCTGGGCGATAGAGTGAGACGCCAACTCAAACAAAACAAAACAAAACAAAAAAGAACAAATGGTTAAATAATTTGGATGGAAGATACTGAAAGATTAAGCAACCGGAAAAAAAACTGTACTTGTACTCCGTATCAATGTGGAAACAGACATAGAACATAATGTTAATGTGAAAATCAGAATCTCTATGTTGTGATCAAACCTACATCATGGGACTTTGGTAATACTTTTTTTTTTTTTTCCTGGTTCTTTAGCAATTCCCTCTCCTTAAATGTTGGAGTTCCCAAGTTTGTCCATGGTGCCCTTGTCATTGTTATCTATTAGAAATAAACCATCTAGTTTATTTAGCATGTCGTCCCTACACCTATCGTGGGCCCAGGGCACTACCTGAAGCTTCTCATCCACATTTTCCAGGTTGCTCTGTATACACCACTCTTAGTAGTCAGAAAACAGCCCGGGTATGGTCATCTGTTCATCAGTCTCCTCCAAGAAAATAGAGAACTCTTACAGCACAGGATGCTAGAACTTATCATGAAAGACTCGATAAATATTTGAGTAGTAAAAGGTAATCATAAAGCAAATAATGAATTGAATACGTCCTGTGTGCCAAGTACCTCCAAGAACTTTACACATAATCCCAGCCACCGCACAAGATAAGCATATCTCCATTATATAGATTAATGAAAAAAAAATACGTCTATAATAAAGTGACCAAAATGTACGCAAACGTTAAGTTCGATGTTAAGGTGTTGGGATTGTAGGTGGTTTCTTTTCCAAAAATTTTAAACATATTGTAGTTAGGCTGTGTGTGTGCGTGTGTCTGTGTGTGGCCACAACAGTCATTTAAAAACCTGAGCAGGCAACCACAGCAATCAGAAACTGTAGGGCAGGGTCTGGGAACAGGGGAGGAACCAGAAGGTATTGACAGGCCGAGAACGACTCCACCAAAGGGAGCAGCCCAGGAAGGCCGGGAGTGCCCGCCGGCCTGGCACTGACGGGCCCCACCCACGGAAACGACTCCATACCGAGACACGAACCCGCGGTCGTCTGCCAAGGACCTGCGGAGGCGGGGCTTGCGGTGACGCGACTGTGGGCGGAGCCACCCAGAATGACTCCGGCTGGGGGGGCGGGGACTGGAGCGGCCCGTGAGCTGGCGCCGATTGGCTGCCGCAGAGAAGGGGCGGGATCTGCTGACGGCCCCGCCCCCCGAGGGGCGGAGCCTGCGCCTGCGCCTCTAGGACAGGGAAGGAGCCGAGCCCGAGCTCCGCGTCGCGACGCGTAGGCTCGCAGCGACGCGGGTCCCAGAGGCGGAGCCGGAAGCGCTCGGGTTTGACCCCCAGAGCCCCTCAGTTTTCGAAGCGGCGGTGGTGTAACTCCTGACCTGCCCCGCCTCCTCCCCTTCCCTTTCACCCGGAGGTCGAAGCCCCTGGCCGAGGCGGGGCGGCGCGGCCCAAGCTCCCGGACCCGGAAGAAGCGCCGTCTCCCGCCTCCACCATGGAGCCCACCGCGCCGTCCCTCACCGAGGAGGACCTGACCGAAGTGAAGAAGGACGTGAGTAGCGCCCCCTCGCTCGGGCGCCGCTGAGGGCCGGGGTAGATGGGCGGGCGGGGGCGGGCCACAGCCCGGCGGGGAGGAGAGCGGAAACCCGGAGTCCGGGTCCGAGAACTCGGCGGATCCTCCGGGTCACGGGAGCGAAAGTTCCGGGCACTGGGGTTCCGCGGCGAGCCTGGCATCCCAGGGGCCTTGGTGCCAGCGACCCTCCATCGATCCGCGTTTTACGTCGCTAGACTCAGGGCTCGGGCTCTTGAATCTGTGTCCAGCGGAGCGTTTCCTCGCCGTCAGCTTCTTGCCCATACCCCTCGCCCATCCCCTCGTCATCTCCTCCCTTCTGCGCTCTTGGAAGTGCTTCGCTGTAGGGATCGCTAGGGATCAGCGATCCATCCTCGAGTCGGGCCGCCAGGGCTGCCGTCCCAGCCTGGAGCAAAAGTTGGACCAGATAAACGACTCCACCAGCAGTGGAGCAAAAATGTGAAACTCTTTTGCACCGAGGGCCTGGGGGATGGAAGCTCGACAGCTGAAAGCACAACCTGGAATTCCCCTAGTAAGCAAACGCCCACATATTTAAATGGAGGGGGGCGTTGAACTCGTGTTGATGAGAATTAGTTTACAGATAAACGTTGACAATATTCAGTAGCTAAATCCTGCTCTTCTGCTTGGCTGGTGGATGACTGCACACACTTTAATGTATGGAACGTGGTTGAGGTATGACATTTCTTTTCCCTTTGCTTTTAGTTACTTGTATTGCTGGGTGAGACCTATATGAGTACCACTAAAATGCTTTACTTTAATTCATATTAAAAACAGAAACTCACCGTGAAGTGTCTTCTTACTTAACACACCAGCATTTTTCCAAAATCATCTTTGGGGGCTGGACGGGACAGCAGTTTTATAAATGTTCACCTACTTCAGAACTCTTCCTCTGGCCCTCCTCTGTAAGGTTTATCGCACTGTACTCATAGTTACAATTGGTATGACTCACCAGCAGCAGGAAACTGGATGTGACTGGAACTTGTACCTTAGTTTTCTCATTCAGCAGAGATTTGTGAAGCACTTGCTATATGGAAAGTGTATCCCTGGGCCTGGAAGGATACAAAAAAAAGATGATCAGGCCCCTGCTTGACATGTTAGTTGAGATAAGACTGGAACATTGATTAGTGCTTTAGAAGAAATCATTGTTATCTTCAAAGTGAGTGCCAGTAAAACTGAAGTGCCGGACCTCTGGTGTACAGAGTTCCCAGTTAATCTTTACAGCAATCTCTAAAGGAGATAATTGCCATTCCATTTTACAGCTGACAAAGCAGGACCTGAGAAATTACAAGTGGGAGGAAATTAGACCGCCACACAAATATAGATGTGAAGCGTGGCTTCCAGGCCTTTAATTTCCTGTCAGTTCGTTGATATTAGCCATCTTCAAGATTCTGGTTTACATCTTATGAAAAAACCATGGATGAGCTTCAGATCTGTGAAAAAATTATGTGTATACTTTTTTCTAGATCTTTTTTCATGATATTTTAAGATGTTTTGTGATCTTAAAAAGTTTGTAAGTTACCACCCACCTATTTGGACTTCCTTCTCTCTCAACTCTAGGTCCTTATTTCCAAATGTCTAATGGAAATCTACTTTTAAATCCTGCAGATTGCTCACCTTGTCAAAAATTGGAACTTTTGTCATTCTTCCCCCAAAGTTGCTTGCTGTTCCCGCTCTGTCCTCTGCCTTGATGAATGGTGTACCCCCAGCCACCCTCTAGGGCACGCGTCACTTCTTCACTAGCTCCTCCTCTTCTTCCCATCCTGTCATTTACTTTAACTTTTTGGTTGAATTTAGTTCAGTTTCATAAATATGGGTTATATACTACATGAGACTGACAACTGTAACAGTTTAAAATTAAAAACTAAGACACTGGCTGGGCGTGGTGGCTCACTCCTGTAATCCCAAAACTTTGGGAGGCTGAGGTGGGAGGGTTGCTTGAGCCCAGGAGTTCGGGACTGGTCTAGACAAATTAGCCAGGCATTATGGCACGTGCCTGTAGTCCCAGGAGGCTGAGACAGAAAGATTGCCTGAGCCCAAGAGATCAAGGCTACAGTGAGCCAAGAGTATGCCACTGTACTCCATCCTGGGCAACAATGTAAGACCCTGACTCAAAAACATTAAAAATAAGTAAATTTTTAAAAAACTAAGACACAATTCTAATTTAAGGAGAATTCAATTTCTTGGGGGAAGGGAGAAGACATAAATTATCATTTTAAATCACAAAATAAGTGCAGTGAATTTTGCATTTATCTGAAGCACTGTCTACTTGGTGCTCTGGTAAGTGAAGGATATGCAGTGTTGACCAAAACGTGCCTCGTTACTGCCTGCTTCAAACAGAGATCTTTAGAGTTGAAAACAAATGTATAATTATAAATTATGGTAAGTGCTATGAAGGAGACAAACAGTGCTAAGACAGTAGGGGTATGTGTTTGAGACGGGATGACCAAGGAAGGTTCCACTGAAACAGATTCCTGAAGAAGACAGAACTGGAAGAAGAACATTCTAGGCAGAATAGAATTTGCCAAGGATCTGAAACAGGCAAGACCTCAGTAACTTGGGGAAAGTGGAAGAAGGCAGAGGATAACCTGAAGTGACATTGGGAAGGTGGAGTAGGGCCAGTTCGCTAAGGGCCTTGTATAAGGTAAGTTTGGGCCCCCCATCCTCAAGTGTAGTAGGGACTTGCTGAAGAGTTTTGTTATATTTTTAAAAGACCCCTGTGCCTGTTCTGTGGACTGAGGAGAACAAGAGTGAGAGTGGAGAAACTGGTGAGGAGAGTCTTAGAATTATATGGATGAAAGATAGTGGTGATCTGGCCCAGGGTGAAGGCCGTGAGATGGGTAGAGCAGCAGAATTCAGATGTATTTTTGAAATAGAAATGATAGGACTTGGTGATGGATCGAATGTGGCAGTTGAGAAGGAGGATAGGGTCAGATTGGTAAGTGGAAATGTCAAATCACTTAGTCTGAAGAACTGAGCTAGAAATGTGAGTATGGGATTGAATGAATTCACCTAAGAAGCTGAGAGCTAGAAGAGAAAAGGATTTTAAAACCTTTTAAAGCCGGGCTCGGTGGCTCAGCCTGTAATCCCAGCACTTTGGGAGGCCAAGACAAGTGGATTGCCTGAGCCTGCAGGTTCGAGCCCCGTCCCCCGGGGAATTTGGCAAGACCTCATCTCTACAATAAATAAAAAAAAAAATAGCTGGGCGTGGTAGTGTGCGCCTGTAGTTCCAGCTACTTGGAAGGCTGAGGCGGAAGGATCACTGGAGCCCAGCAGGTTGAGGTTGCGGTGGCTGGGAGCATGCCACTGCACTCCAGTCTGAGTGACAGAGTGAAATTAAAAAAAAAAAAACCTTTAAAGAGAAGAGTTTGTTTACTTCTTTGTTTTTAAATAGAGATATGTTTTCCTATGTTGTCCAGACCGGTCTGGAACTCCTGGGCTCAAGCAATCCTCCTGACTCATCCTCCCAAAGTGCTGAGATTACGGGCATGAACCGTTTCGCCTAGTCAGAAAAGTTTTTAAAAAATGATTGAGAAGTTATAGCCGCAGAGATAGAAAGAAAATCAGGAGAGTGTGGCATTCATATAGGCTAAGAGAGGGAGTGGTCAAATGTGTTCCTGCTGCTAAGTCAAGTAAGGTGAAGACTGACAAGATTTAGCCATAAGGAGATCATTGGTGACTTTGAGGGGTGGAGGGGCAGAATGGAGATGTCTGGGAATGAATTGGGAGATGCAGTGAAAGGAGTGGAGTGCTACATTTAGAAAGGTAAGCTGTTTATAACAGAAGGATACAAGGGCAGAGGAGAGAGGTTCCTGACTCCTGGGCAGTGTAGGTAAAGCTCTCCAAAGATCGCGGCTGATCTGAATCTTAAAGGATGAATAGAGGCGTTAGGGCATGAGAAGAGAAAACAAGACAAGGGTAACAACAAAGAAATGTGGGCCGGACGCGGTGGCTCAAGCCTGGCATCTCAGCACTTTGAGAGGCTGAGGCAAGGATTGCCTGAGCCCGCGGGTTTGAGACCAGCCTGGGCAACATGGTGAGACATTGTCTCTACAATAAATCAAAAATTAGCTGGGTGTGGTGCGCGTGCCTATAGTTCCGGCTACTTGGAAGACTAAGGTGGAAGGGTCACTGGAGCCCAGCAGGTCGACGCTGGCGTGGCCGTGACTGTGCCACCGCACTCCAGCCTGGGCGGCAGTGAGACTCCGATTCAAAAAAGAAAGAAAGAAATGTAGAGTGATAGAAAACAGTTTTAGGTAGAGCATAAAGTTTCAAGACAGCAATGGTAACAGAATAAGCTAGAGAGGAAGGCGGTAGCCATATCAAGAGCCCTGTCTGCCACAATTAAAAGTTTTGTTTTGTTTTGTTTTGTTTTTTAGCATTTACTGTGTATCAGAGACTGTGCCAAGTCTTCATCTTCACATCCCATTTAGTTCTCCTAGATGACTTGTGGGTTAAGTTTTTAATCATTATTTTATCAAGAAGGCACCTGAAGCTTAGAGTGCTAAAGTGACTTGCCCCAGCCTCCCAGGAGTATGTAGCAGATTCAAGATTTGAACTGAGTTGATCTAACTCTAGAACTGTTCTCTTCTTGACTATTCTGCAGTAGTTGAGGAACTTTACCCTTCAAGTCAGGGATAGAACACACTGTTTTAATTTTTTTAAATTAACTAATGATGTTTTAATATTAGCAGATTTTTTTTTTTTTTTTTTTTGAGTGAGAGTCTCACTCTGTCACCCAGGCTAGATTGCAGTGGCACACACACGGCTACCACATCCTCGACCTTTTGGACTCAGGTGATCCTTCCACCTCAGTCTTCCAAGTAGCTGGAACCACAGGCATGTGCCACCATTCCTAGCTAAGTTTTTGATTTATTGTAGAGACGAGGTCTCTCCATATTGCTTAGGCTGGTCTCGAACCCTTGGATTCTGGCAATCCTCTCGCCTCCACCTCCCAAAGTGCTGGATTACAGATATGAGCTGCCACGCCCAGCTATATTAGTAGAATTTATGTAACAATCCAGATCTCCATTTCTCTTGAAAAATTGGAAGACCTTTACTGTTTTTGTTTAGTTTTTTGAGTTGGAGTCTCACTCTGTCGCCCAGGCTGGAGTGCAGTGGCACGCTCACAGCCACCGCAGTCTTGACCTGCTGGACTCA